CTGCTATCCTAAGTTTCTTTCAGGTGTGATCGGAGAATGCCCTTTGGCTTGCCCTCCCTTGGGGGACAGAGGCTGAAGAAATCTCGTGTATTGGGACCCTCATGAGGCTTTGGTATAAGCTAAGGGCTCAGTACTGTAAAGCAGTACTTTGGGTCCTGTAAGGTCACACACTTCAAGCGCTGTGAAGGATACATAACTCAAAGACCAGAGCACGTGTGAGCCAATTACTTATTGCTCCAATTCCACCCTAACTGTCCTTGCTGGTGCTCAAATCCTGTTTTGGATGCAGGCCACAGTCTCCAGTCTAATATGAGGTTTCAGTGAACAATTTATTCTTGTTTCTAAGCTGACTGCACAAATTCAAAGAATTTCAGGTAAAATAGATTAACYGCTTCAGTAGGGAACCATGACAGTTATCTTCATTTGCTACAGTGCCACGTATATATGGCAAACAGCCAACTGTTCTTGATGTGCTTAGGAATGCCAAGAAAACTTGGACTTGAATAAGCTATCTAATTAACTACCAGTCTTATGATGTACGGCTCATTTTCCCCAAGTCACTCCTTTGCCAAAGCTTAAGGCATCTATTGTCTCCCGTGTAGCAAATGCATTTCCTTTCCATTCTTCTGTTTTGAAACTACTGTAATCTAGATCAAAGGCCAGACTCTGCATTCCTTCTTTGGAAATATAGAGAAACACTTATTCTTAGATGCTTCTACCATTATTTGGAGACAATTAAATGAGATCTGAAAAAATGATTAACTCTTTAAATGGAAGCTATACCCCCATGGTGAAATATTTTTTGGAAACCAATTTTAGCACTCATGTGAGCCCCTGCTTTCTTAGTGCATTTGCTGGAGTTTTAAAAAATTGAAGAGATCCACATGGATTTATTAGATGGCAACACTACACCAGGACCTGTTATTAAGCAAGAAGTGATTTTCAAGGACAATAAAAACTTTTAATGTACTCCCAGAAACTTTACTTCTTTGGAGTCTGAGATTACTTTCCAAGACTGCTCAAGTTATTGATGCTGGTGACAAACTGCCTATGGCCAGTAAGGCGGCAGGAAGTATAAGTCAAAAGGAATGTTACCCTAAAGATTTTAGTCAGTGAAAGTGTTAGCAGGTTTGGATTTCGATAACATCGCTCAAAATCATGCTGCTGGGAAAGACTATATAACCAGGGAATAGTGAGTTAAGAAAGAAAATACCTGAAAGCAACATTTCCACTGTTTGTTTCAGAGATGTCATTTATTATGCTTAAATTATGTGTATAATATATACCATGTGATCCTATAAATAGAAATAGATTAAGCTCAAATTATGTAGAGGGACAAGAAAAAAATAAGAATAAATGAGACTGTGAGCTGAGAAYGCAATGGGGCAATCTTTAACTCTGAGATCTGCCTAAGTGAATATTGATGATGTCAACGTCCTCTTAAAAGATGCATCCTTGTGCTGTCATGGAGCGCTGAAGTCTACAGAGAAAACCAGGTGGCTCTGTGCACACTCTCTTTTCAGAAGTTAGTCAGCCTGTTGCCTGTTCCATTAGCCCTTTCCATTGCTGGGGGAGCAGAGCCAGCCTGAAGGAAAGGCACCCTTCCCCTTCCCCTGCCCATTGCTCTTGGTGCACATGTAATTTTTCTCCTCTCCTGCCCCTTGCAGAAGATCTGTGGTCCCACCTTCTTCCCATCATCAGAGTACAACTATATTCCACCTGCCTGGCTGTGTTCAGAGGTGCAGGGAACTTTGCAGAAAAGTGGTTTTCAAAATCACTTCAGCTTTGGGATTTTGTTGTAGTGGCCAGTAAGTAATATTGCCCTTCCAGAAATTCATTTTATCTGACCTCAAGTTCAGTTATGCCTAAAGAAGGGCTTAAAAAAAAAGAGTAAAACTTTATTCTGTCTCAAATCAGGCAAATAACAGTTAGGCAAATAACAGTTGCTACCTGGAAAGCTATTAGTAAGACACCGAACTGTTTAAATATATGTTGTACTTCAGGAAATTATGAAAATGGAGAAACGATTTGATGAAGTAACTGAAATTCTGAAAAAAAACAGGGTATGCAAGGTGATGTAGTGTTGGTAACATATAAAATGAAGAGGAACAAAATATTCCCATATCCTTTATTTCTTGCATATATACAGTATACACACATATAGAGACTTATATACATAGCTGTCTTTTGATGTCTGATGAAAGTGGTGTAATCTTGTCTCTGTGCATAGCTTTTGAGAATTTTAAGAGTAACATTAATACCAAGCTGTGATTGATGGATGACTGATTACTGTTACAATTCCTATCGTAGTTTTACAGACTCACAGTTGCAATCAGAATTGACACTAACAGAAGTATATGCAATTGCCTGCTTAAAGAGATGATACAATTTTTATTATTCTCATGTCATTAAATCAAGTCAATCATAAAGAGGTCCTGCTGTGTTTGTGTAAATGCTGGTTCTGATACTGCCAGGGCTTCTTCTTCTGTGTAGATGGAATTAAGATGCGCACTGGTCTAGGACTACCATGTGCTAAGATAACTGTACCCATCCTGGGAGTTTACTGATGTAAATGTGTGAGTAAAAAATGACACTTGRGATAGATGCAAAAGTAGTCCAAATGACTCAGAGTCTGCATGCAGAGAGAAGGCCTGAATTAATGTATTTTGTATCACGTTTGCCTCTATCTGCATGAGAACAATTTGGACCTCCTCCAATAATGTCCTTTCTTTCTGATTTATGTGCTTTTTGGTACTACTGTAAGAATTGCAGTTTAACAGCTTGTGTGGATCAAGTTAAAGTTACAGTGATCGACTTCCTGTGTAGTTTACTTGCTTAGAAGATCAGTTGTATCACCATAAGAAATGCTTATATTGGTATTATGCCCCTATGGGTTTTTGTGTATTATTACTTGACTATTCTACTATAGATAAACTACTTAAAATTACTCTGTGTAAAAGGTACCCTTAGTTTCAAATGGCCTTATTCAAGTGATGCTTTAAGGGCTAATTGGATATGAACCTAGCCAAATGTAACAGGAATTTAAGTATTGCCTCTTCCTTGTAGAGTATACCCAGAGGAGGAGACACTACAGTAACATAATTTTGCTTAGCACGTATTCCAAAATTGATCCAGAGGTGTTAGAAATGATAGTAATTATATTTTCCCGTGTGAAACTTGAAATACATTATGTCCTTTTAAAAAAAAGAAATGAAAAGGAGCTTCAATTCCATTTACCTTCTGATAACCTAAAGAGAGCCAGTGACAAAGCCTGGAGCAACATCTTGATATCCTATTAGGATATCAAGAGTGGGAACTAATAGGTCTGGAGAGGATTCTGGAATAAAATTCCATTCATATTATGTGTATTTCCAGAGTGGAAGTTTGTTGTGGTGGTGGTAGTGGTGTTCTTTTGTTTGTTTTTGTTTTTGTATTTTGTTTGTTTGTTTAACCCATGAATTATACCTGTAAAACATGGGAACTGAAATATTTTAAGCCTCATCCTTATCTTTTGTCCATTGGTGTTCCAGCATTTAAATCTTAGCATTAACTAAGCTTCCAGAACAAAGTTGCCAGACACTCCTACACCTGGAAGGCAGAAGAACTAATCCTGAAATTCTTGCTCTTCTTATGTAGTATTGCTATATTATGTCTTTATTTTGACTTGAAATGTCCTTTATTTCATCTTGAAAAAATATCCATTTACAATTTTCTCTGTTATGTAAAGAGATGTTCTGCATCTGTCAATTCAGGTGTTTATTTTCAACTTCAGTGGAATTTGAATTCATACATTTTCAGGTTTGTCTTAGTTCAAAATTGCCATGAGTGCATCAGTGAACAATTTTTACCAGGAACCTCACTCTGTCTGTCTMTTATTGAGATGAATTAGTTGTCATGAAAGGAATGCTTCCTAATAGATCTGAAGGGAAGAGAGCCTTAACAATGCATTGAGGCTATCTTTAAGGGGAAGAGGCAGTCCTCAGAGAGATCATTTTCATAAGGACATTTGATAATACTGACGTGTCTTGGAAATTACATTTTCATTCAGTTATAGTGAAATATTTAGGCATGTTCCAGATAGGCGTGATATCTTCTTTTCCGTAAAAAAAAAAAAAAAAAATATGTGTCCAGTCAGTTGCAATTAGTGTTCTTCCATCTGCTTTGGGAGAAACATTATTACTGGTAATTAAAACACAGTATGTCTGACCAGAGCTGCTCTATTTTTGTTTTTTTCTTTCTTTATTGCTTGTTTCCTGCAAAGGAAAAAAAAAAAATAAAAACCGTAATGTTATCTTCATGGTTTTTAGGGATGCCCCATACCTACTGATAGAGACAGTGCAATCCAGTTCCACTTGTAAGACTCAGAATCAAGGGGCTTCCCATGCTCTGCCTTATCACTGCCTCTGAAGCAACCTTTGAAAAATGTTTAAATACCTGGTGGGTTGGGCAATACACTGTTAATCATATGTAAAGCGGTGGCTTTACAGGTGTGGCGTCAGGTTTTACTGCATAGCAATCTCACTTCTTTAGGCACAAGATTAAGATTAGACTTTCAAAAGATAGATGATGTCCTGGTTAGAGGACTCAGAAGCTTTCTCTCTGTGCCTTGCATCCCCTCCTGTAAGTAGATACAATCTCTCTTCTGTCGGCCATGAAGAAATGTTTCTATTGCACGTATGTTCAATACTCAGCACAGTGCAAGTGCATTCAMCACAGAAATACAAGTCTAACTAACAATAATTAATTACAGATTCTATCCAGATCTCATTAAAGTGAGAATGAGAAGACTCCTGCTGACTCTAGCAGGGGTGGGATTGTGTTATCATGCTTTTAAACATCACTAAGATCTTTAGATGGGAGCTAATAGTGCTATTTTTTTTTTGTTTTGTTTTGTTTTGCTTTTCCCTGCTCTGCTGTTTGCAAAAGGCTGGTTACTAACTTGTTGTTACCTGCCAGTGTTAAAAATTTATTTTAATGATTTTTTTTCCTTTCCTGGGCAGGATTTATGTGGGCATCATTCATGTGATACTCTGGGAATGGCAGACGTTGGGACCATATGCTCTCCTGAGCGCAGCTGTGCAGTGATTGAAGATGACGGCCTCCATGCAGCTTTTACAGTGGCTCACGAAATTGGTATGCAGTGCCTTTTCTGTTCCCTTGCCAAATCAAACACTTGTAACAGCTGCATTAGTAACCAAAATACTTCACAATTAATTCCAGATTTCCCTTGGTCCAGATACTCGCTTGGGGATTAAGGCTGTATACACATGCACTTCAGGGTTAACTAATAAGGGATCAGAAGGCAAATGAAGGTGCACAGTAGGTGTTTCCTTTCTGACAGTGTCATTTTTAAGCAGTAGTTGAAGTGAAAATTCAAAGGCTGCTGCTACTGTCCAAAAATGTCAATATGTGTCCCTGTTGGGAAAGCGTACAGACTGTCCATTACAGTGAACATGCATTTAGTCCATATACAGTGGAAAATAACTCCTTTTCTTGAATGACTTGCATAGTCATTTGTTTTGAAACATTTCCTTGGGATGGGGATGATATGTTCCCTGCAGTGAAGAGCTTAGTGAAGAAAGCAGCACTCAGATCTTTTTCATAAGTGCACTGAAATTCTAACTTTATGGCAAAGCATGGTASTAGTGCTAATCCCAGAGCCTATGAAACCGTTTGTAGGTGACAGAGGTTTTGTCAGAAGAACTATTTAACTGTGTCAGATTCAGCCYTGGTGTACAGTAATTTGCTGTAGAAGCCTTGCATGTCCTCTGAAGAAGGATTGGAGGCAGAATTAGTGATGGAAGAAAGCTTTTTTTTTTTTTAGGATATTGCCTCTGCCATGATATATTTCTGCAGAGAGGCTGCTGCCATGTTGGTTGGTTTTAATTTATTAACATYTCAAGAGCTGTGTTCACAAGAAATATGTATGAGGGCTATTCACTTTGGTGAGTGAACAGCARTTTAAAAGTGGAAAACCATCTCTTTTTTTTTTATAATATTCTTGGAAGGAAATAACAAGGAAAGGGGCACTTTCAGAGAGAGCCAGTTTCTGAATTGCCTTGTACCTCATGCCAAACCAAAGTAAAGTTTGCTTTGGGAGTATCATTGCAGTAGTTAAGTTTTCAAGTGGCTAGCAGGTAAAGCCTYGGAGTTCTTGTGCTGGCTATATACCTGTCTCAGCAATCAGAGGTTACCAAACCTGAAAAAGTACCTAGCATCAATGTTCAGTGATCTGAACTATTTTTACATTGCTACAGTGTAAACCTCCTGGTGGTTGGAGAAGTCATTTACAGGAAGGGTCATTTGTAGCATGAAATTATGAAATACTGTGTCAGAAAGTTTCAAACCTGAAAGTTTCTTAATAAACAAGATACTTTGGTAATAAGAGAAAGCCATCTGAAATCCCTAATTCAGAGCATTTGGAGCTAAGTACAGCAATGAGTTGAAYATCATATGTGTTTAGTGGCATCAACACTCTAAACTCTTAACACTCTAAAGCTAATGACCCATCACAAACCTGCTCTTTAATTGGGGCAAATTGACTGGCAAACTTAGCCTGTTATTCAAAGGCCAGTCTGCCTGACAGACTGCTTGTATCTTCTTATCTCCAGAAGTGGTACATATTGCCAAAGATTAGTGGATATCAACGAGACTGGATGAGGGACCTTCTTACAATGCTGATATTGATCTTTCTGTTGTGTGACGAGGTTGTTAATGCGACTCAGCTACTTTTTTATCAGCCATAAATACCTCTTTGAATATATTGAAAATGAAAGGGCACCAATAAGATCAATACAAACAGAGGTGAGCAGGAAGTAGGCATATTATTATCTCAAGCTTCCCACAAAGAAAATGTAAATATAAGTGAATTATTTTTAGTGAACTCAAAGCACATTTTTGAAGAAAAGCCAGTTTCATACCTAGAAGTTTTCAGGAATCCATAAAAGCTATAATTTTCAATATAAAAAAAAAAAGGCAAGAATTGAAGCAGTTGGATAAATAAGTACTCTAATGGACAAAAAAACTCCAATTTGAGGTTGTTTAAAATAACATCCTTTTTTTTTTTCTTCACCATAAGTTTTTAAGAAAGAGGGGGTGTCAAGTCACAGAATGATTTTTGTGTGTGTGGCCCAAAGTGGGAGAAGCTGAGAAAAAAACATAGCTAAAATTGCTTATTTTGAGTACTTACATTAAATTAAAGGTCAAGAACGGATGAAAAATAAAAGTGTGGCATGGATACCCTTTAGTTAAGCACTTTGGGAAAAACCTTGCTTTATTTTGGTTGGAGACCAAATTTCTTCCTACAATCCTAGAATCTTAAAAGTCCCTCCTGTCCTGTGGGTAGGGTGTAGCTTTCGTTTTACAGTAACTGAAATTCACCTTGCAGAGCAGGAGATGCCCTACAGGCACAGGGGCCTCTAAGGGCTATAAACCTAGTCGCTCCTTTCTGTCTGTCAGACGAGTAAGGCAAGCAACTAAGCAAATTGTCGTCACTGTCTACAGCCTTTTAAATAGCCCTATTATGTGTGGCCCTATAGTAGATGAAGTATTGTTAACATGGACTTGATCCAAGAATAGTTGTATGTCCTCCCTTTAACTTCAGGGGGATCTGAACCCTCCAATTTCCTCAGTGAAGGATTCAGGAACATTTTGAAGATCAATTCTTTCTCTGGAGGACAACCAAAGTAAATGGAACTGCAGCTCAACCTAACAGGATGATGCACAGCCCAAGGGTTCAGGTTGAGTACATGGAAAAGAAGCCAAAAAGCAGCCCACTACAGAATAAAGACCATTGCTTTTGCTACCAGGGCTCCTATCACATGCCTTAGATGTTTATTTTATTCCTTCAAATAAATAGATAAATTTTGACTAGTGATTTTGAAAGGAAGAGTATGAATGAATGTCAGCATCAGTCAAGACCTCCAAAGAGATGTAAATAAAAGCACGGAAAGAAACAGACAAAATCAAAATCTTTCAACACTGGTTAGCTGACAGTTGATAAGATATAGTAACTCATCTGTAACAATGAACAAGGACCTGACCTGAGTCTTGTCCTAATTGCACGTAGGAAAATTTGGAATGGTTTGTGTCAAGTGCAGAAAATGGGGATAATACCCAAAAAAAAAAAAAAACCCCTTTTATCTCTGAAAGTAATAATCCAGTTTATCCCCAGAGTAAAAGGAATCAATGCAAATAGCATTAATGCTGTTTTTTTAAGTCATAGCCTATAAAAACAGTTTGGCACTAATGCTGAAGCCATGGTTATTTTCTTGCTGGTGAAATGCTACCATCAGTGTATACTGCCATCACAAAAATAGTTGTCACTACTGTAGCTCTACCATCACAAAAGCAGTTTTTTACTAGCATGCTGTACAAATAGAAAGTGAAATAAGGTGACAAACCCACATTTTCTAGAAATGATCAGGAAGGCCAAGCCAATGTATTATTCTTATGCCATAGGTTAACAACATATACTTTGATGGAAGTGACACCTGAAGTGGAGTTACTCTTTTGTTGCAGTTTTAAAACACCTCCATTAAAACAAAATAATTCTGGGAGCAGTTATACAGCAAACCCTTCTTCTGTAAAGAAAACTATTTTAAAAGTAGTTTCTATTGGAGAGGCAAGCGGAAAGCTTTTTATGTATTCAGGCTTCTGTATTATTTTGGCTCTGTCAGTTTGGAGTTCATTTCCTGAACATTTCTACCTTAATGAAGGCTGTCGAGTCTTCTGRATTCTTGCCTGAACTCATGAGTTCAGCTCCATCTTGTGCCATATTGGTGTCTTTTGTGAGTTTAAGGCCTCCTTAGCTTTACCAGGGTATCTAAATGAGTTTGTGCATGGTATGTAGGCATTGCCTGAGTCTCTGTGATCATCAGCCCATGAKCTGTAAAATAGTGATGCTTCATTGCTTCACACACCTCCCTAGTTCACAGAGACACCTAAAGAAAAGCATTAAAGAACCCATGACTGCCCTTAATCTTAGCATTTATTTAACCTTTTTCCTAGGTCAGTCTTCTGTTAGGTGATCATGCTTGTATCTTGCTCTTCTATATATCATCAATTAAAATAATTGCCAAGAAATAAAAGTAGAKAGATTTAATTCTCATTCCAGTATTCAGTTTTTCCTCTTTTTCTTGTTTTTGTTGAGATTTTGATCCTTTTGCAATGTTGATATATAATGCAGCCTGTGTGCTGCCTGAAGCATGATATAACGTCATCAAAAGACACAAGCGATCAAGTTGAAGTTGGTGCTTAACATCTCTTCCGACAGGATATACCTTATACATTACAGCTCCATATTTCATAGCCAGAGTTTGCCTTTGGGGATACAGCAGTGTTTAGAAGCTTCTACTGACTTCAGCCCCTGCTGTGCTGGAGTCCCTCATGCTTCAGTGCAGACAGGCCACATCCTAAAGGGCTTATCATCTRCAAAAACATAAAATGAGAAGAGTTCAAGAGAAAGGAAGTAGAGCTACTGCTTGTTCCGTCAATATGTAAGTGGGGTATGGAGATTCAGTGATCTGCCCCAAATCACATAGGAAGTCCCAGGGAAAGCCAAGAATTAAACTTGTCTCTTGAGTTTCAATCTAGTCCTTAAATACAAAAGCATTCTTCCTGTAGTCTCTAAGCAGGCAAAGCTCTGGCTTTGTTCAGTGTAGGTTACATTGACCTAATGATTTGCAAAGGTATTCTTAAATTATATGTATCTTTGTTCTTTCCATCAGCCTCACAGAACACTTTTCATCTTTTTTTTTTTTGAAATAAGAGATATAGAGAAAAATCTGCCTTTTTGATCAGAGTCTTGGTGTTCATTTGACCTTTTGCAAAGTTCCTATTTCTCTGTTATGTAATCACGCTGGCATGCTCCTCCTGCTTGTATCCTCCCGAGTAATATGGTTTACTGATGTTCTTTCCAATATTTTATTTTTAGAATGTAACTTAAAATTTGTTACTCAGAGCTAATTAAACTTCCATTTGTTAATTTTCTTTATCTTCTTTCGTGTGATTTTAGTGTAGAGAATGAGATTCTCTGCTAGAAAATCTAGTAGATTGATACTCTATCAAGTCACTTTAGACATCACTCTATCACTCAATCTATATCTAGTAGATAAGATACTCTATTAATGTAG